AAAAAAAACAGAGCAAAATCCAAAGCTACCTTTGAGATCTTTGGCTTATAGGAAGCAGAACATTAATTTAAAAGAAAAGAAAGAAAGGGAGGAAGAAAAAAAAAAAAAAAAAAAAAGTAGTGACTCCATAAACATTTATCTAAGAGTTCCAACTGTTCCAGTGGAGGAGGATGTAACTCAGCAGTTCTCATCCTGTGCTGGGCTCTCCAGCTCTGACAGCAGCACACAGGGACAGCCCTTGCCCAGAGCAAAGGTGAGCAGAGATGAACCCAGCTCTCTCTTGCCAGGGACAATCACTTTAACCACAGAAATATTTACAATAAACACTAAGCCCACAGAACTCACTTTTTAGAAGATTATAAAGCCAGCCCTAGTTCCCTAATGTAAGCTTTTCAGAACTCACGATAAAACCTTAACTCCTCAGCATTTTAGCAAAAACAAACACCTCCTCCTCCCCAGATGAAATTCTTAGACTTTACCTCACTTTTGCGGATGTTTTGGCCTTTTGAAAACCGAAGTTTAAACAATATGGAGAAAAATCCAGTGCAATTAAAATAAAATTAAAAACATAAACAGAACTGCAAAGGAGAGACTACAAAATACTTAGACAGCAATAAGAATTATTTGCCTCTCGCTTTACAGACCATTCACTGAATCTGAATTGTAGACAAAACATTCACAGAATCCCAAATGTCGTTCACATGGGTTTTAATACTTGTGTAGTGTGATTTTTTTTTTTATAATCAGTTTTGAGTTTATTTGTATTGGGTTTGTTTCTCATAAAGCATCTGTTCTTCTATTTCTTTTTACATGACTGGCACTCTCCTAGTGTAAATGACTGGACTGACATTTATTGGATTGGGCTTCACATGGAGCACCTGTGAGCAATATGTGCTGTGTGTGACTTTCTTACCCAGCCCTAGTAATTTTAATTGTTTTTGGCATGTTTTTCCTGCCATATACTGTAACTTGACCTTTGCAGTTTCATTTTGATGCTTGTGAAATGAAGTAGACTAATATTCCAGAAGAATAAAGTCCCCCGTTCAGTCACAGAAAGAGATACAGAAATTGTAGTGGTAGCACAACGTGTTTTTCAACAAGAGGTTCCTGAATCCTTGGGAAAGAACATGGTATACCTATCAAATAATGTAAATGTCTGTAGACCATAAATGGCATGGGAGGAGAAGGCACTCCAAAAGAAAAATGTAGTAATACAAAAAAAAAATTAAAAATAAATCTCTTTCTCAGCTATTAGGAATCACAAGGTTATCTTTTTTTTCCCACCTAAGCTTATAGCACTATTGCAGATACTACTATAGAACATTTAGTACTTCTATTTTCTAGCTTTTTTTTTTTTTTTTTAAGAGCACAACAATTTTTGCAAAGCCTCTTGAATTGAGCGATTTAGTTATTAATTTTTATGAGGTAAAACTGAAGTGACAGAGAGTTTTTCCCAGGACACAAAATGGGCTAGGAATAGACAAGGGATCTGAAGTCAGGAGTTCTTCAGTTCCGTTCGCATGGAAAACAATTAGACAACATGGCCTTATGACTGTAGAAAGGTATGCAACAACACTGCTCCACAGTTCGTGGAGAGGATTTCTTTAAGGAATTACATCCATCACATCAGGTATTTAATACACCTTTCAGATTATTCTCTGCAGTGTCTTGCTCTAACAATGAGAATAGAGAAAAATTTGAAAATCACAGTGTAGGGTATAGTCAGTCAAAAACATTCCAGTTACTGGCTGTGACGATTTCGCTTACCTATGACTTCAAATTATATAAGCTGGACAGAATTTTTGTTGCATGAAAATAATGATAATTTGAGGGTATTTTTAGTTCTTGTATTCTATAAATGGTAATCAAGCTCCGGACTCCTTTTTAATTAGAAAAGTAATGGAAGACCCTAATTAAAAGCTGTAAGCATCTCCTCAACTAGCAGTTTAACCAATAATGTATTATTTATTGAACACCCTGGCTAGCTGGCACAGTGCTCAAAGGGGTGCAGATCCTGTAGCAGCAACACAAGCTGGTGACACAGCTCCTGACAGGCAGTGCTAATGAGCTTTGGCAGGGATCTCTCTGCTCCAGCCTCAAGGCTCCAGCCACAGGCCAGCACTGAGATCTCACCCCTCAGACTTCCCCAAAGGACACAACAGAAAGGCAAACGGGCTCGGGCTGCACAGTGCTTATGACAAATGAAAGTGCGTTGAGAAATGGCGTGGCACTGTTCCTCAAAAGGCACAGGATGTTTTATACCCTCAATAAGGCTGCTCTACAATGCCATGGATCTAAAGGTGCTTTGCACTAAAGGAGAAGCTGACCCACAATGTTCAGCTCATGAACATTCAAAGGCAGAACCTTGTTACTGCTCACTTAGCAAGGGTCCTGGATCAGAATGCAGAATGCGTTAGGCAGCTGAGTACCTACAATAGCTAACGGCCCATCAGCACCAAATAATCAGCAGCAGGAAGAAATATTGTGAGCTGGACCTACACCTGGTGCAGACTGAAAGACCAGAGGACAGCAGAAGGCAGCTGAGTCATGCTGGCTAATAAGCTTATGGATTATGATATAAACAAATCTCTTGTAGTTTGCCATAATTATTACATTTATATGTTTGACCCCATTTTAAATTCATAAAATAAATTGAAAAATACTAACATCAGCTTTAAATCACTAATAGTATTAGGCCCAGGATTATCACCTTTTCTTCCTATACAGCTACATTCTGTAAAATGAGATCTATTGGTTTCATTTCCCCAGCACAGCATCCAGAAAAGCCTTCAAGTAGAATTATTGCTTCTATTAAAACATGTACCATCTTCTAACTCTTCCCGTTTTCTCAGTTTAATATGAAACAATTGAGAGTTATATCAATACATTAGAAAAGAATTATCTTTATCAGCACCCTCAGAAGTCATGATTAATGCAACAATCTCTTTCCTCTAACTGAAGATGCCACAGGAGGTACTAGTCCTTCTTGAACAATTATGTAATTTAAGCTTTGTAGAGTACACATTTTTGCAAAGCGGTCAATAACTCCTGGTTAAGTAAAAGCATTCCTTTCAAAGAATACAATTTTCTAAGTAAGCTTACACATACAACAGAAACCACAACAGATTTGGATTTTAAAGGTACCTTAACAGTGTATTATGAAAATGTGATTTACCACACTATTAATAGAATATTAACATATTATATTAAATGGTGAATACTGTGGGACCAATTCCCCCATGCTAAAGCAGATGCTGAATATCATCCATACATATACACCCACAGAGATGCTGCTCCTGTGCCACAGCAACAGCTTCATCACTCTGGAGAGATGAGGAATTCAGGGCCACACAATAACAGGAGAAACAAAGCAGGTCTCCAGAGACGCTGCCTGCAGCTGTTGAGTAGCCCACACTGAAGCTTCTCTCCTGAAGGGCACAATGTGAGAGCCCACTCAGGCAGGATTGCCCTCACTCCTTGCATCCCAGAAGTCCTGTTCACATAATGCTGGGCTCCTAAGGGCATGTTATTCCACAAAACAACTTTCACAGACTGAAAGGAAACCTTTCAGCCTTCTAACAACATCCAAAGATGTTTAAAGCCTACTGATATCCATGCATATCTAGAGAAAAAGTTTGTAGGTAGAGCTGGTGTGGCTCATTTTCAGTTTTGAGAACTGGGCCAAAATTGAGAAAATTCTTTAGTTTTTGTACTGAGCCTCTGTGAATTATGTGAATCATATCAGTGATGTATCATCTATGTAGATATGTGTATGGATAGAACAAGTATACTCATAATGTGTGGGAATGGCAGTGTTAAAAAGAAAATAAATAACCCTGCCCAACTGAAATTTCTTTGTATTTAGCAAGGGACATTTTCCTCTGATATGTGTGTGAGAGGTTGGATGGAAAGGCAGTGTTATTAGATTTTATGCTTTTCTAGAGACATTGTCATCTGAGTCTAATAACTTTGTTTCTCTTCTACACTCTTCAGGGGAATAAATGGATATTTAAAGTTTGGTTGAATTTTTGTGCTGGGAGAGTTGGTTATTTGGTATAAATGTGATCCATTTCCACCCCTACCCCTTCCCTCCTGACTCTTTTCTCGTCTGTACGTTTTCCAATTAGGAACCCCAGTGACAGAACTCAAGCACCAAATTACCAGCCTGAGGCTAAACTACAGCAGCAGCTAAATTCCAATTTCAAAAATCTGATTGAAGAATGTGGGGCTTTATCTATATGCCAATGTATGTGCAACAGGAAGGTTTTCTTCTTTCCTCCCTTGGCCCTGTGAGCAGAGAATCCACTAAAAATACTAAAATGAGATCATATCAACTTATATGAAAAATCACAAAAGAAGGAACTATTGTCTGATACTGCAGCAGTATCTCTGAGTCACATTTCCAGCGATGAACCATAAAAGATCCCAGTTCCAGAGTCCCTTCTTGTGTACAGGCAACATGTCTTTGCTCCTGGGAGTGCACACAATGTCTGTGCGCAAGGGCTGAGGGGATGCTGCACCTGAGGTCCTTCATGTTGTGCTTCTTTCACATTAGAGGCCTCTGTCTGGGTTTTTTAGCAGCTTCCCATTTTCCCTTATGCAATCCCAGGTGGCATGTCCCATTCATTTGATCTCTCTGGATGAAGCTGTTGTGCCTCACTTTGTTATACCATGCTAACAGAGGAAAGTCAACTGCCTGGGACTAGAAACTCATTCAGAAATTCAAAAAACTATTTTGAAACATATTATTGTGCAAATAAACACAGAATCTGGGAACAAGAATCTGCCACATCCCTCTGAGTGGCCTGTCCCTGGCCTCTTCTGCCCAAATTGAGGAAAGAGCTTCTCTGTCACACACTGCAGAAGCTGCTGCCTCGGCTGCCCAGCCCTGCTGAGCACTGCAGCTCCCTCAGCGCCTCAGCCCTGGCTGACCCTGCCCCGTGTCCCTGGGGCAATGTCAGACCCCTCCATGCAGCACCACCTGCAGCAGCACAGCTCACCTTGGCAAGGGAGTTCCATGTCATGCTTCTCTTTTGAACTCTTCTGCTCCACATGAACAGATCTGTCCCAGAGATCAGTGGATGCCATTTCTTGGTGTGAGCTGACCAAGATTTCCAGGAGACAGGTGAACTCCAAGACTTGTGCTGAAAAAGAAATGCTCCTTGAAAAACTAGTTTGTGGTGTGATCTGAGAAAGATACTTGCAGCATATGAGACAAAAAAAAAAAAAAAAATCAGTTTTTCTTCTCTAAACAAGGTTCTGTATTTCACATTAAAGTATGTAGTGAATATCATATCCCTTTCTTTAAGCATGACATACAAACACTATCACCTCACCAACAGTTTATTCCAAGGATGTTGGTATCACCCTCAGAGTTACTTCTTTCTTTTTCATTGTCCATGGGTTGTCAGCTCTCCTTTCCCAACACCACTCCTGTATTTAACTCTGTGCTGTCAGCCAAGTGAGCAGATACACCTGGGAAAATATACAGTGCCACCAATGCAGCACAGACACCTCCTCTGTGCCTCACACAGTACAGACACACGTAATTCTGAGCACTTAAATACTTCCTTGCCTTCTCTTCTGCCAGTGTACTCATATTTTTACCAGTATGGATGGATCCACTGACAGGCTAAGACCCATTCTTTTACACTGTTCACTGCAGCAGACAGTGGCTCTAGCTGATCCCTATCCTGAGTGTTGCTGAATCCTGTCCTGGTTTCAGGGCTGGTTTTATAAAACTTTAAAACTTTATTTTAGTCCTCATCACCAGGCTGAACATGAGACTTACATGCCAATACAAAATATTCTTGTTAGGGATGTGTGAGCTCATTTAGCTAAAAGCCTCTGTGAGTCTGTGAATTTGAAAGTTTGATTTCTAAGTAAATATCCTTTCTTACAGCTCCATGTGGAAGAGAATGCTGGGAAAGAACCAGAGAAATGGTAAATAACACAAAGAAAACAGGTTTTAAAGCTGAGTTAGAGAGAAAATTTGAGGAAAAGGCACTACACAGCTGTTTTCACACCACACAAAGACTTTCTGAAAAGTTTTACAGGGAACTCAACTCTCTGAGCACCATTTTGCTCTTTAAAATAGGAAATGCAGAGTCAAAAGCGGGTTTGGGGTTGGTTGTTTTGTTGTTGTTTTTTTTTTTTCCCTTCAAACTGAAACATTTGAAAAGATAGAAAGTTACAGAAAGAGACAGAAATAAGAGAATGTCCTTAAATATTTGTGACCAAGTGCTGAGAGAATGGCCCTTTGCCCAATTGTTTTTTCAGATCTTTCTTGCTGTTAAAGTGCTATTTATCAGAATCTTTAACTGACCTTGAAACTTAAATACTTTCTCACAAACAACAATTTGGAAACTTGATACCATTTATCAAGCTAATTCAAACCAGTGCTTGCTGAATACCTTTGCACTTAGCTGTAATTCTAGCCTAAAAAAAAAATTCTGCATATGGAAAGTCTGTTGTGGATGACATTTTGTTAGAGGAAGTCACAGCTACTTGGCCAGATGCATGCAAGTATAACATTAAATATATATAATTGATATTTATATCATCAGTCAAGGAGTGATCAGTGATAGGATCATGGCCTTCACCTCACCTTGAACTTTGAAAGGCAACAACTGTCATCTGCAGTCTTGAGTCTGACAAAATATTTCTTAGACATAAATTGTAACTTCTCTCCCCATATCAGCCCTACAAGAACCTTCTCCCATGGCTCCTGCATAGGGAGGTTTGCTGAGCTCCCTTTCCATGGCCATTGCCATCACACACTCCAGTGCTTGCTTTAGCACAAGCCACCCAAACCCCTGGTGCAGAAGACTGCAATTTCACATTTCACTGCAGAGGAGAGGGACAATGGCAGGCTGGACAGGGACCCTACAAGATTGCAAGACAAGGAGAAACTGTGGAAAACACATTACTATTCACAAGAGCATTTTGCTTGCATTAATTTAGGCAAGTACAGAATCAGGAGGCTCCAGCACAATAAGGGCAGAATCAATGGAAACTGCTTTTTCATTTAAAATTAAACTATTGTTGCTTTAAAAGGCAGATCTATTTTTAATCTTGTCCACTCAGTTCTATTAACAGACAACAGGATACAGAGGAGTTTCATATGGCTCAAAATGTTCAATATCAGATGCAGATTGCAGATCCATGGATCGAGTTATTGGGGAGGGCAGGGGGTCATTTCTCTTAGTCATAATATAAATGTAAAGAAGATAATCCAGTAGCATTTGGGGAGGGAAAGAAAAGGAGAAAAACCAAGAAGGAGTAATTGGGGTCACATCCACTGAGCACAGAGGCATTTCCAGAACAGCATTCAAGTGAGTCACAGGCAGCATGAGTGAAAAGAGGGGGGCAAGTGATAAAGTAGAACTCATGTGGCCTTTTTAAGCTTTTCTGGCAGAACAAGAAAAGTAATTACACACTGTCTCAGCAAACATCCGTGGCACCACCTGGTGTATTCTCAGAGAAATCCCAAGAAGGGATTTTTCATCTTAACCTTGATAAGTGCTGTGCTGGTACCACCTCTTTGCATTATGTGCAGTTTTGAGAAGGAATCAGCCTGGGAGCAGGGAGTGAAGCACAGGCCCTCTGAGATATGCAAGTGCTGGAAGTCAGCTGAAGCGTGCCTGGGTAACAAGAGCTCCAAATGAGAAGGAAAGGAAAAAGACTGCTAAAACTGATTCTGACACCATGAAGTCATAAACATATAAAATCCCCTGGAGCCTGGAAAAGAGAGGGTGGGGATGAATGTCTCTGGTGTCTCAGCCAGCGCCATCATTCCCAAGGCAATGCTGGGCCTTCTTTCTGGCTGTGTGTGGCACAGCTTCCTCCTTCCTTTGCCTACCACCTTCCCCAAAACTGCCATGCCTTAATCCACAAGGATTCAACAACCTCTGCAGTGGGGCCCAAAATACATTAATTGCTTTAACAAGTAATTACAGTTTCTCAATTCCTGAACTGCTGCTACTACCAAAGTAACTAACCCATAAATAAATTCCCTGAGCTTTTTGTGCTGGGTCTTAGCCCATGAAAAAACTTTTGCCATCATAATTGCTCTGACTGGGGCATCAGTCTAAAGACACTCCTGCTTGCTCACATCATCAAACAAATCAGCAGTTGGCCTGTAAAGGCTGATTCCTGTGCAATCACCTTGCAGTGAGATTTCTTTGGACTGAACAGGTACAATGGAGTCAAGAGAGTTGAAATTAGCACACAGTCTATTCCTTGTATCAGAGATACAAGGGGATACCATGGGATATCACTTTAAGCCTCAAGAAACTGATTGGCTTCTGTGTTTGAGATAAGCACATGTGCATATGCATACATAAATACATGTGTATATATATAAAAGTATTTCTTTAAATAAGTGTATTTGTGAACAGATGAATTTGTGAATCAGGTCATTTGGATGTTTGCCAGCTTGAATAGTTTTGGCAGGATTCTTAGGCTTTAAAAGAAACAGTAGTGCCTTATTAGAACTCTGTACACTGTATTGCAAACACTTGAATGAGTTTTTGCACATGCATAAGATTGAAATATAGTGTTGTGTAACAAAATGCCAAATTATCAAGGAGGTATTTGAAATGATCTTACCGATTTATGAAGTAAAGCATCAATTTTTCATCCTCAGATTTTATTTCAGGCCCAACACTAAAGAAATAAAATAAAAATACGGCAAGTTAGACATTGGAAAGAGATGTTACAGAAAGAATAAAAAGAGAATTTTCTTGATGGATTCCTTAATCACGTACAAGTCACTGGTGAACAATAAAATACATTGAAGATTGCTACAGAAATTGGGTCTTGACCTGAGTTGTTGAAAAATATTTCAGAGCAAATTGAAAACATAAATGGATTGGGGGGGGCGGGGGGATGGTTCCAACTATATTTCAGAATAATGAAGACAAAGTTTATGTCATACCAAAGGCTAACACTAAAATTAATGTTACCACCTCTATAAAAATAGATAAATTGCTTTACATCTAGAATGTTGTATCTAATGCATGATATAATGCCACAAGAGACTAACATACACAAAACTCCCCTCTTTGCAGCCTAAATGACGTTCAGGTCATTATGGCACCTGGCAGCCAAATCAGAGAATTCAGAGGTAAAACTGGTATTCTATGCTTTATCTTTCATGCTTTGAACCTTAAGAATATGTAAAGAAACTATGGGATGAGCTTACCTAAAACACTGTGGAACATGATTTAAATCACTTTGATACTTTTTTAAATAGTTCTACAGATGCACCTGGTCAAAATCTCCCCTCACACTAGCATATGCCTGGAATTGCTCTCCTTATATTGCTGAATATCTCCAGTTTGAGTGGACTGAGGCCAGAATTTGATTCATAGACATTATTTAGATTGTACTTTATTTGAAACTAAAGCATAAACAGAACTATCCACAGTCTCTGAGCGTTTAACTTGTCAGAAAACAAAATCAGTATTTGTGTTCAATGATCATTGCTACTATCTCAACCAATCAGTTGAATGCATTGATAGTGGCTTTCTTTTGTGGGCTCATTTTCTTTTTTTTTTTTCCTCAAAAGCAGCTACCTCTAAATTAAACTAGCACTGATGAAAGGTGATACGTTCATAGTTATGGGATCAACACAGGATTCAAATTTACCTCTATACTATGGGTAGAGAGAAGGCAGCAGGACTGCCCTTCCCACAGACTTTGCTCTGAATTACATTTCTTTGTGTGTTATTTTGCTGTATTTTTACACCCACATTAATGTTGATAGTGGGTGAAAAGTAGAAACATATTTTAATGAGAATTTTTACAACAAATTGTATCCTGTCCATGTTCTGCAAAGGTTGAGTGCTACTGTAATCCTTCACTTTACATAGCAACATCATTTATGATCCCTGGGCATGTCCCAGACTCAGGCTGGCATCTAAGTCCTCAATCCACTCATCACTTTGCAGGTGCTTCAGCCCCCAGCATCTCTTTATTTCAGTCATGAAAACACTTGTCTACAGAGCAATCACTCATCCTTAGACTGACATTTCTGCATCGAGCAATTTATATAAGCCAATGCTGTAATGACATTTCTCAGACTTGTATTTTATGGGTATTTCTATTTTGGAATTTGTGAGGGATAGAGAGGACTAAGCTGGGTGGTTAAATTATTAAACTGTCCTCGAAATACTCATCTTCCCAAAATGCCTTAAACAACAATTTAATCAATACTAAAGTGAGGTGGTTTCAACTGCAAGAAAATTCCCGGGGGCAGTAGCTGTCCCTGTGCAAAGCTTATTTTCAAAGCTGAATATGCTGGTTGTTAACGGAATAATTCTCCAGGAAACATGCAATCTGCCTTTGTTTGTCATTTTGGTACGTTTCCCTTTTGGTACATTATCTACTTGAATAGTAAGAGATAGAAATTAAAGCACCTTGGACATGTGTCCTAGATGTGACATTGCACAGCAGAGCCTAAAGGACCAAGATATGGCACAGCTTGTGCTGGGGAGCAGAGCAACCTCTCCTGAATCAGTCATGCTGTGCCTCAGCACACACATTGTTCTTTGCAAGGAATTTAGCCTTCTGCTACCATTTTCAAAAGCAAACAGCAGCCTTCCCTTAAAAAGAGATCCAGGAAACTAAAATACCAAAAGAGTCAAACCAAAAACCCAGATGTGGCCAGTGGCTGTCATTCTCTTACACCTCACAGGGAAGTGTTTAGGCACCAACAGAGATGTGAGGGCAAGACCACTCTCACTCTTTGCCTCTTCAAGGGCAGAGAGTTCAGGCTCTTATTCCTCTCTCACACTCATTTTGATTAATCTGCATCTTCCCTGATTTACATTGAAAAGTAGAAGCTGAATTAGGTTCTTTCAGAGCTACTGATGAACTGATTACTCCAGTGAAAAATTTCTGCTTGTCTCATATTCAAATGAAAAGCAAGATCAGTCTCTCTTTTGGAATAATCAAAATTGGAATAGGAAAGAAGGAATGGGTTCATAATAAAGCTTTTCAAATATGAGCTGCCTTTAACTCCTATGGAACTCTAATTCTAAATGCCAGGGCCTTGCTGCATGAAAGCAGTCTGCACCCAAAACACAGCAGTCAAGCAGAAGACAGGACTTTTCCTGCTGTCCCCCTTATTCTCTTACATATTTCTCTATTATTGGGCATATTTCCTCTTTCTCCCCATGATTTTTTCTGCTTTATTCTTGTACCATCCCCTCCTTTTGTCATATCTTGTACAATGCTAAGCTGTTCTTGTCCCACTAGAGGCTCTGGCCCTTTTGCCTGTGAATTTCTTCTCTCTTCTAGTACAAAGAGCTCTAAATCTTAACAGGCACAACATAACCAGACTGTTTATTCCCCCTGTTGCTCTCTGCTTTTACAGAACTAGAGTCAGTAGGAAGCAAAAGATTAGGCTTTCATGCTTTGCATCATTCAGTCAGCCAGTCCCACTAGATCCTACAAGGAGAGTTTCACATCCCTGGTACAGACACCCTGCTCTAACAACCAAAGACAGAGGTGCTGATGTAATACAGACTTGTCATCAAGTGGGACCCATTTTTTTTTTTGGTTTTTGTTTTGTTTTGTTTTTTGTTTGTTTGGTACAGTCTATTGAACTGGCTGGACCCAGAAGGACCTGCCTGAGCCATTTTTTTACATATTTCAGACAAGAAATCTGATACAACTTTCTGGGATTAATGCTTGTAAAAATGCAGATGTCTTGGGCTTTTACTCAAGCTACTCAAGGCTCACAATACTAAATTGAAAACCAAAGTGATTGTTGTGAGCATTATTTCATTGTAGCCAAGGATCATAACTGCCCTTGATTCCTAATTAACCCACTCCTGAAATCCTCAAGGTGAAGATCCAGTGGCAGGCAAGTGAGCATCAAATGGATGAAGGTATTTGTACCATCATACTGACAGAAATAAATCTTTCTTTGAAATATTAACTTGACATGACTCACAGTGCAACAGATTCACAGACTCAGCCCATAGTTAATAGATTTATCCCAACAGGAACATGTGCCAGAAGAAAAGGGAAAACGTTAACCAAGTGATTTTAATAATAAATAAGGCTTTGATTTTTAATAGTGCTAAAGGGCTTTAAATTCACACATTACTGCCCTCTCCACCTTCAGTACTGCTGAATTCATAGAACTACCTCATACAAACTTTAAACATACAATAAATATTTTCTAAAAACTCTATAGGGAATAATGTTTGTTCTGCCAGTGCTTCATGGATTGTTTTGTGGCATCTACAAATAATGAATGATTAGAGTACAAACAAGAAAAATAATTCATTTTAAGGCATAAACAGCTGCACTTAATTCTGGAGGAGTGCCCAGCATTGCTGCTTTGAAATCCCTCTGCTTTTTCGATGATAAATATGTTACAGAATCATGAAACAAAGTCTGCAAACAAATTATTTCTACTTATCTCCTATGTGTCATTCTCTCTTGCGTGTTTATTCTGCCCTGTTAGTTTGGCATTATTACCTAGGTGCAGTACAGTATCACTCAGTTTTATGAAGTAATTACAGCTGGAAATAAGTTTTGTAAACCTGATTTACATCCTTCTAAAACTGCCATAATTCCATAATAGCCTAAGCAGTTCTGATTTAGCTCTGTGGCTACAGAAGGCATTTTCTACCACACTGGATTTGGACAGAAAGTCTCTATACCATGTTATACATCCTGTGACAATAATCCAAGTGGCCCTCAGATTCCTTGCCTCATTTGTTTAGATCCTTGAAATTTTCATTCAAGCTGCTGTCTTGGAAGAATAACCGGTTCTATCTGTTTTTCACAGGCTTTTTTAAATGAAAAAGGAGAGAACTTAATATCTAATATATTGCTACAGTCTCTACTGTAAACTTTTACTAAAATTAAATTAAATGATACAAGTAAAGGTCAAAATTGAAATGGAGTCAATAAAAATCATTAGATTAACAGTGATCCTGAACTGAATCACCATCTAGCTGAGTCCCCAGATTAATATAGCCAGTCACCAAACAAAATGATTGCACAGCACCATCAGATCTAACAAACCTGCAAATACTCTCCTATAGAATTTAAGAGGGCAGTGTCCATTTAAAACTGTCCCAATGACATCACTCTACTCATAGCAATCAGTCCAATCAGTAGAACTTCTTTGAATTAAAAAAAAAAAAAAGCCTGTTTTCTGCCTCAAAATGATCATGGAAAATTTGAGGCAATGAGAGGAAAATGCACATTGGGCTCACCCATGACACAGCAAATCCATCTCACGAGAGAGGTGCTCATTCTGCCTTCCGCTGTCATCACAAAAAGACGTGGACAAATACAGAAAAAGTGTATTTATGTATCTTTCTGTAAGAGTTTTAATTTAGTAGTCAGTCTAAAAGAGAAGTCTCTTTTCAAATGGTCCTATTTTACAACAGTCAATAATCTAAGCATTGTTTAGACAAAAGCTACCAAGTCTCTTTATTAACACCACACTTAGACCTAATGATTAGAGAATTTCTGTGACCAGAGCAAAGATCAGTGTAGTGACATCAGGATAGAAATCATTGCATTTACATGAACAGTGATGATAAAATTAACAGCCTATGATACATACCTTCAGAAAAACCTTCACAAACATCTTGCAAGCAGGAAAAATGGTGGAATAAAATAGATAAAATTGAGTA